TTCTCTGCATTTTTTCCAGAATTTTAACACCTTTTTTATAGTGTGATGGCCAGAACTGGATGTAGTATTCGAAGTGTACTAAGGCTTTGCGAAGCAGCACTAGAACTTCATGTGATCTTGATCCTATCCAGGGGTGAGCTTCAAAAATTTTAGAAATGGGTTCTCTGCCTGGTTTCTGGGTGGGCGTGGCCATGGTGGGTGTGGCCTAGTTGGCCTTCTGAACCACGGCGGGGGTGAGGGCGTTTTTGCCCTCCCTGGGCTCCAGAGGCTTTCCTTGAGCTTCTGGGAGGGTGAAAATGCCCCCCCGGGCTCCGGAGGTTCTCTGGAAGCTGGAAATGGGCCTATTTCCAGGTCAGAAATGGCCCTAGAAACTTCCTGAATTTCTGGGAGGCCCCTTTTTCACCCTCCCTGAGCCTCCATGCACGCCTTGCACTTACCTGCATCCAAAACTGGCTGCGTGGGGACTCCTGGGAGGGGAGGGGAGGGGAGGGGTAGGCAGGGCCAGCCAGCAGTGGGATTTGGGGGTTCTCTGAACTATGCAGAATCTTAGCTAGAGGTTCTCCCAAACCCCTATGGACCCCCAACAGCCCAGGCCATCCTTCCCAGGAGTCCCCACTTCTGATTCTATACCTCTATTAATGCAGCCTAGGATTGCATTGGCTTTTTTTTTTTTTTGGCTACTGCCACGCACTGCTGGCTCATATTTATGTTAGAATGAAAGAGAAGAACCAAGAGCAAGAGAGATGGACCCAAATGCAGCCACAATGGCTGCACCGTTGGGGAACCTTAAGGGGCCACTTTGGAGACACATCATCCTAGAGAAAGTCTATCTAGTCACCAAGGATCTACACTGACCTTTTGGTGCAAAATCAGTACATCCATCAATCAGTCTAGCTTTAATCCTTTGGTTCATATTGTGGACATATCACACTGTGAACATCAGAGACTGAGCAGCATATGTGAACAAAGCAAGAGGGTTTGATTAAGAAAATGAATATCATTTCACATGGGGAAAATATGGAAGGTATGTTGGGTATATTCTCCTCCGTTGTATTTATTTGTAAAAATAATAAAGGCAGAATTCAACTAAATAAACATGTGTTTAGAAGAAAACCCAGATCTAATTCATTTTCTACTTTATAGTATTTATTTATTAAATTTATATACCACCCATCTTGTTATCAAGCAACTATTTTATAATATCCTTCATATTAGTTTTCTTTATAAAGTTATCTTCCCCACGCAATTCAGTTTCCCTGTAATAAATTGCATGGCTGTACAGCTGCTTGCTTTCCTATTTGAAAACCCATTTTAAACCTATTTCTTTCTCAATGAAGGAAAAGCAATGCATGTCTTCCAACTGTATTGAAATTGCCAATTCAATATATATCAACAGCATAAGAGCAGACTGTGAATTCCACACGGTTGGAGTCCACACACAGGCCTTCGCACGGTGTAGAGATGAGATGCATATCCAAAAGGGATGAAATAAAGTGGAGAGGGAGACTTTGAGACAGATAAATATCACTGCATATCAACAGCAGGCCAATTACACCGACACAGTTGTGTGCCACACTACCCACCCAGAACAATCAAGATTCAAAGACCCATTTACTTCAAACATCTGCCTCCAAAGCAGAACTGCACCTGCTACAGTATAAGCAGGACCTGTGATGAAATGGATTGTTTTTCAAGTTAGATAATTATGTCCTTTCCTAGGAAATTTCACTGTATTCCTTCCCTCCTACAGTTCATGACTCACTTTCCCCATAGTCTGTTCAACATACCGTGATTCCTAATCACACACAATTCTCTGGCGGTTGCTTTGGAGTCTCCAACAGATATTGCTTTCCATATCTATTTTAAAAATTACATTATTATTTTTTTACAAACCTTGAAATTCTTATACACAATCCTTATACACAATTGATGCCATTTCAGATGCATTACCAATGGTACTATTGTTATGAACACTTGAAATAGAAAGAATGAGAACTGCTGTTAACATCAGCACCGATCCAAACAATGAGATGTGTTTGCGCATTAATCTCACCTTCGAGGAGATGAACTACACATTGAAAAAAGGACCAGAATGACAGCCACTCAAGACTCAGCTTGAATGAGAAGAGAGGTTGTTCGTGTCATTTTAAAACATTGATGAGGTTAGACAAAAGTTCTTCTTTTTTTTCACTTTTGAAGGAAAGAAATTGTGATTCAAGGTCTACGTTGTTAGGTTAAGATGAAATATATAGATGCCTGGAGCAAAATAGCTCTCTTGATCTATCAGTTACACTAAGATCCACTGGTAAAGCTGTTTGACATCCTTGGATAGGTTGTTGAGGATGGGGCTCTCCAAGGACCTCTCAACCTGATTTTTGGACACCCAGTAGACTCTTTCTTAAGGAGCTTTTGCCCCATTTCACTTTGAGAAAAACTTCTGCATTACCATAAGCCACACCAAGAAACTACTGATGCTCCTTCTGCAACTAATGACCTCTGGGAGCGTCATGCCTTTGTGCCCATCACTACAGATACTAACATGGCTTTTCCAAAAATGCACTAGACCAGGAAGCCACCAAGCAGATGTTACTTTCTTCACTTACTTTACTGATTTGCAATACTTATTATATCCGATTCCTATGCCAGCGGTCAGTTCCCCCTAATTGAGAGCAGAAGAGGGCTCCCTCTTTGAATAGCAATAGCACTTAGACTTATATACCGCTTCACAGTGCTTTAAAGCCATCTCTAAGTGGTTTACAGAATCAGCATAATGCCCCCAAAAATCTAGGTTCTCATTTTACCCACCTTGGAAGAATGGAAGGCTGAGCCTGGTAAGATTTGATCTGCCAAATTGCAGGCAGTTGACAGTCAGGAGAAGTATCCTGCAGTACTGCATTCTAACCACTGTGGAGTAGTGTTTTCAGTAATTAGGAGTTTCTTTGATTACTGTTACTAGTTCTTCGACATAACAAGCAAGTTCTCCATGAGGAACGGGGAGTCTGATAAGAACTAGCTCAAACCTGCTAAAGACAAGGACTGTACATAGAGTTGAACTCTAGTAGCTTGCAAACTCAGTATGCCTCATTATAATGTAAAAGCCATACCTGCTGCATATGAGGATGAGCATCAATAAGATCACACTAAGAGTATTACGGGGTGTTATGGAATGTTACACGATACGTATAATGTTACTGACGCATTCTTTATCACAGATGAGTCAGATGATACTAAACAATAAAAGAGCTCATTCTAAACCCAGTATGTCTGAACTGTATATAAAACAATTCTCTATCTTTCTAAGTTGCTTCCAACATCTTCCAACCTCCAGTTCAAATCCTATTTGGGCAAGGCACGCTGGGCTAAAGGATCTTGCTGACATTTATGGCTAACACCCCCAAGAACCAGGAAAGACATTGAGTTACTTTTGATCAGTTTCCTTTATTGTTCCACACCTTTAGACAGAATCTTGCCAAACCAAAGCAACTATTAGATGTACTCTGACAATTGCTGGGAAGGAGCCCAGCAACTAGATTAAAACACCCTCTTTCTCCAGACCAAACTCTCCATGAATTGCTGCCTCTTTGCTCTCTGGAATATAGCCCCAGACCATAGACTTCATTCACCACATCAGGAGACTCTGGGCACGTAACAAGAAGATAAATATCCCATATCAAAAACAAAGAAACACAGTGAAACACAGACTGCAAGAAGGTACCAAGGACAGCTAAGGACCATCAGTGCATTCAATCTAACACGTTTTAATTTATTTTTGAATTCTAAGTAGGGATGTACAGTACATATTTCTGGGAGGTTAAACGCCTTCCAAGTGGGGAGTGGTGGCTGAAGCTCGGAAGATCTGTTGCATAGGGCATACATTATGACCTCACAAGGAGGGAAGATATTCTCTGGATGCCTAGACCAGATGGACAGATTGTCCCTTGGTGGTTCCTGGGCCCAACATTTTGGAATTTTAAACTAAGAGTGAACTGATATTAATGTGTCCCCAAACTCAAGGAGGAGGAGGAGGAGAGGAAGAAGAAGAGGA